CACTTAGTCCACCTAGTAGTGAAACAGCTTCGTGTTGTGAAACACAGGCGGGAAAATTGAGATCCTCTGCTTTGGACCTAGTGAGGCTTCCAAGAAAAGTTCCAGAAATAGAGAAAGGCTAAACTGACTCCCTACGCACTAGCCTCCTCCCCCAACCACCCAACGTTTTCTGCGCTTTGAGTCAAGCTACTCGCCCGCCTAGAAGAGGAAAGGGAACCAGCTATTGTGAATAAAGCAGCACTTCCACAGAGCCGCGGCCTAGAGCAGTCTACGGAGAGCAGCCGCAGCGTGAAAGACTGCACAATCTCCCTCTTAAATTGACTGAGGTTTGTCGAAAACTGAAACTCCAGAGGCAAGCACTAAGAGTTACATTTTTTTCAACAAGAATGTTTCCCAGCACCGTCAATCATTTCCGGCTTTCTCTCCCAGCACAGCACGCACGCACACGGGGTCCCCGGCCCCGGGGCATAGACTTGGGGACTCTAGCACCTGAACAGACGCATCACTGGAAGCAGCGAGGTGAGGGTTTCATTCATAAGACTTGACTTCGTGGGAGGAGGGAGGAAGAGACAAAAGCCTTTTATCGCTGCCTTTTCAAATCCCAGTTCTGCAGCTGAGAGGGGAAAAAATGCCCCGGGAGTGAACGGCCTCAGGGACGAAAAGCTGCCCGATAACGGTACCAGCCAGCGCGTCAGCAGCCGACCCGCAGGCTATTTATACCGCGCAGATTATGCAATCCGGCTCCAGCCATTCAAGCCCGAACCCGGAAAGCGCACACGCCTGGGGGTGGGGGCACTATTCCCGGGCGTCGGGTCAGTTTCTAAGTTTGCATCATCCTCTTCATTAAGAGAGCGCTCGGGTTTTCATTCTTCGGGGAGACAGCCGGGCTGCAAACTCACTTGGCAGCTTATTTAAACATCGTAATAAAGGCACCAGAGCGCCGGGGGAGCGGCCCGGGGCTGGGCTCCGGCGCACCGGAAGGAACTGATAAACCAGGCTAATGATACCCGCTCCCTTCCCGGTCGGAAGTGCCCTCCGCGCGCCGGTCATTGAGAAATACCGAAGGGGCAGAAAGGGGGTGAGTTGAGGACAGGCCAGGGCGCAGCAGCGCACGCTCCACGGGGCCGCAGTCGGGGCGCTGAAGCCGGGGGGTGCTTCTGAGGGCTGTAGCCAGACGACTCACACCTTAAGCCACAGTAGAGCCCTTCCCAAATCACCCCCCTCCCAGTGACGCGCCCCCGAAGGGGTGGAAGGACAGGTGATTGATCAGATCCTCCCCCCGCACCTCCCACCACCCCGCAGAGACCTCCACTCCCTGCCCTACCGGACCCCGACGTGAGAGAGCTGGGAGGACGCAGAGAGCGCGCGCAAGAGATTGCAGAAAACGATAAAATGTCCGCTTCCCCGCTCCGGTGCGGGGCAGGAGGGGGCGGGGGCCGGGGCCGCTGCAAGCTTGGGAGTGAAACTGGACCTGCGGGCTACTGAGCATGCCCGTCTCCAGGCCGAGGAGGGGCGCTCTGACTCCGCGCTCCGGGCTTTCCGGGCGGCCGGAGGGAAGCACCCGGCGGAGGGTGCTCTCGGGCCGCGGACTCCTGAGACCGGTAGGTGGGGGTACTCCTTGGGGATCCGCTAGGTTAGCGTGAAGTTAGGAGTAGCTCGACTTTACTTCTGAAAAGGATTTCTTTTCTGAAAGCTGGATCTCATTTGAACCCACACCCTTAATTTGATGGTGGTGTTCAGAGCCTCTTCCCCCCTTTTGCGGGTTGTGGGGGGAGACTTGGGTCTACGAGGTTCTTTAAGCATTGTCATTCAAGTAAAATCCTAAATCCAACACACCCTCTATTCTGGCAACAATCCAGTGGACTTTGATAACACCGTGACATTTAAATCAATAAACAAATTGTGTCATTTACATAATCTCTTCATTCATTCTATGGAGGGTCAGGAGTCACAGTAATTGACGGGAGAGCCAAGAGGTCACCTACTAGAATTGTTTACAGCAATAGGATCCTTGGGGGGTATGAACATGACAAAGAGAACAGACCTTTCCTTTAGAAAGTTTTTCTTGTTTCATAAAGCCAATTTTCACAGGCCCCATGGCAGCCTAAGAGCAGATCCAAATGGAACACCTGAAGCAGAAAGGTGATGCAGAGTTCTGCTTGCAAAGTGGAAGAACAAAAAGATGGATAAAAACAAGGTGAAGTTCCAGGAATCGAAGCAGCAAAACCTGAATCGGCAGAACCAGGCCCTGGTGGCCTTGGAGAAGATGCAGGGGAAGTGACAAATGGCAAAGATCCTTAAGAAAGTCCGGCCCTCCCTGGTGGAGAGCAGGTCGAAGTGCAGCACTATGAGACTATCCACAGCCAGTGCAGCACAAGTTCCATCCCTGGCCAGGCAGGTGACCCATATGGCATGGCAGACTTCTCCTGTCTCGCCATCCGCTGTTCCTCTCAGCAGTGTATTTACCTGCCTGTTCTGTGCCCCACTTTGTCTCTAGTGGGTCCTCTCACCCCTTGCACCTCTGGCCTATACCCCAGTTCTGTATGCATAAATAAATAAATAATCTTAAAAAAAAAAAAAAAGTATGCACAGTCCAGAGCCGGTGAATTCCCATATTGGTGGGCATCTGGAGATGCCCAGCAATCACTATGACATTCCCCAAATCAGCTGGATGACACCTCTGTCCTGCGGTGTGGAATGACATCAAGAGAACAGGAAAGTGAGGTTGGGGCTCTGTTTAGTGGCTGGTATTTTCTAGAAACATTCTTGTAGACATATCCTTATTCTGTGAGATGGTGCTTTTCAAAGCATTGGACCCTTGTTCTAGAACCTGATTAAAGTAAGACCTTTCACTCAACCAAAAAAAGGATTTCTTTTTGGACCAAGGCTTTCCTGGTCCTTCGTAAGGACCAGGAATAGAGGGGAGCATTTGGTGACCCAACTGGCCAGAGAGAGGAAAGAGTTTTCAGATATTGCCCATTATAGGGTGCTTAACACAGTGCCTTCACTGGATAGCCTTTCAATCTTTCCATAACACTATATTTTGGGGATTATTCTGACACTATGGATACTGAATTTGAGGCTCAGCGACTCCAAGGACCTTCTGGGGTGTGACTCTAATGCAGGCAGAGTAGAAACCTAGTGACTAATGGATCTTAGAAATATTTTCTTTTGCTTCCAAGGGTGCCTTGTTCCCAGGTTTGACCTGCCATTCACTGCTATTAGTATGGAGCTGCATGGGTGAGTGGTGACAGAGCTCAGATTGTTCCTAGAACTTGCCTACCTGCAGAAAAGAATAATTCCTTGCCATTTGGTCACTTTGCAGAAAAGAATAATTCCTTGCCATTTGGTCACTTTGAAACTCAAGGAGAGTGCCAAAGAGCTGCTCAATGGGCTCATAACTTTGATATGAACAATGGGCTCATAACTTTGATATGAACAAATGTCTATGTTCCTGGAGTTCCAGAATGACTGGGATCTTGACTCAGCACATCCCAGACAAAAGCAACAATAGCCAAAGGTGAGAACTGAGTAGATGACTTAGCCTTCTGGGAATTTAGAGAACATAAAGATCTTGCTTTGTTCAGCGCTTTTTCATAAACTCTCACCTCAAAAACTGTGAGAAAGATAAGTTTGACTTTGTTGTTGCTCTGTTTTATAAAGAAACTGAAGAATTGCTAAAAGGGATTCTCACAGTGGCTAGGAGAAAACCAGAACTCGGGTGTTCCTTGTCATTGCCCTTTTCATCACCACATAGACCACCTTTCAGTATCAGGTAGTGAACCCAATCCATGTGCACAAAGGTTATGCTAAGCACAAAGCCCAGGGTAAACCACTAGTTTCTCCTTGACTCAAGGGGAAACCCTTTCTGTCTTTGATGCACCAGTGCACCCCAATCCATCCATGTAATATACTCTCTAGGCATATTATATTTGAGACATATAGTTAATCCCTTAATTGTTCAGTGATTGCTATTGTATTAAAATCTCTGTAAAGTCTCATGAACATTCAGAAGGATGGATGGAAAATGCTATTGTAATTGGAGAGTAGGAAGGGGCAGGGATTCTACTCTTGGTTCCAGAGCATAACCCTGGAAGGAAATACCCACTGGCTAGATTTGTAAACCTCACTGCAAAGTGAAAATGCAGAACTCCTTATTTCAATACTGCAACAACAAAGAATTAAGCACAGATCCCCTTGCAATTGCACAGGCTGTATGCCCAGGAAGCCTGCCCACTACCTAGATAGTGCTGCTTTGGGGAGCATGGGCCCACTCACATCCCAGGCTAAGTCTGGGAAATAATTCAAAGACAAAGGATGTGGGGGAGGAGGCTCCAGGAGCTCTTTATTCTCCCCATTTTACTATGCCAAAGCTTTAGGAGCTGGCAACCTCTGGCCTGGTAATTATGGCCTTCAAGGGACTGGGGTAAGGACCAGCCTCCAGCATTAGATTTGTTTACTGAATAATTTATGTATATGTGTGTATATATCTGTATGCACATAAATATTTGGCATACTTTTTATGTCGATAAAGTAGTGCACCATGTTTACTGAAATGCTAATGTTTCTGGGGGATATTGGCTTTACCTTTTTTTAAATGTATAAATAATGACTCCTTTAAAATATCCATTTCCCTACGAAGACAAAAAATCACAAGATCCAGTGAAACTGAAAAATCTCTGCCATTCAGAACCTTGACACCTACATCACCCTCCCGACCCAAAGTGGGAGGTAATTGATCTTCTGAGCTCCAGTACCCCTTTTGCCCTTCCCTGAGCTCCGGGAGCCCGCCGCCGCCTCCTCCCGCCCTCTCCCCCTTATCCCGATTTTTAATCCAGGGGTTGGGAAGGTGGGAGGGAACCAAACAGAAGCCAGATGTGTGTGAGTTCCAGGCTCCCGCCTCCTCCCTCTGCTCGGCCTTCCTAAAACCTGGAGCGCCGACGAGTACGGATCCGGAGCCAGGCAGACGCGGCGCAAACAACTCCGCTCCGCGACTCCTACGGGAGTGGAAGCCAGAGGGCGGGGTGTGTGTGGCGCGGGGATGGGGGGAGCCGGGCATGCTCAGTAGGCGGGACAAAGTTTTTTTCCTTTTTTTTTTTTAAATTTTTTTTTTTCGGTCGCAAGTAGGAAGCTTTTTGCACTCCACCACCTCTGGCCGCTGGGAAGACGTCATCGCTTCCGCCCTACTTCCTCCTCCTGTTGGCGGCGGTGAGAATCCAATATGGAGTAAATCGGTAGAGTCGAGAGATGGGGCTCGGACGGGGCGCCCTGCACCGCCTCCCAGGCGCACCTCCCCCGGCCGCCGACCGCTCCCCGGAACCGTGATTGGCCCGGCCCCCTGGGGGCTACCGGGGGCCGAACCCCCACCCGCGGTCGGCCCTCTCCACCTCCTCTCAGCAGTCCCAGCCGTTCCACCGCGCGCTTGTTTTTCTCCTCCTCTCCCCCATCGTCGTCCCCGTCCAAATCTCTCCCCCTTCGCCCGCTCGCGAGTCTCCGGAGCCCCCGCCCGCCTCGCCCCTCGGCGCTGCGGCGCTCACGCCTCTCGCAGCTCGCCTTTACACCCTTTCCCCCAAACCTCACCCCACACTCCGGTCGCCCGGCTTCCCCTTCTGCCTTCTACCGCGCCCCCCTACATCTCTAGCCGCCCCCCCCCCAAATCAGGCGATCTCCGGAGATGTGAAGGAGGGGGGTTGAGCGGACAGGAAGATGAAGGGAGCAAAGCTGCCCGCCGCGGGACAGGCGTCTAGGTGAACAAGAAAATGACCGAAGAAACACACCCGGACGAGTAAGTTTGGCCGCGGGGTTGGACGAGGGTACCCCGAGGGGGCAACGTGGGGTCCGGGGCTGAGGAGCCAGGAAGGGACGTTCGTTGGGTGAACTTGGCCTGGGGTGCAGCTACTCGCCGGCCTGTAGGTTTGGGACTTGAGATTCCCCCCATGTTGTTGAAATGAGGAGGGGGCCAAAACTGCTGCGGGCCTAGGGGCGGGGGGGGGCACGCTTTAGGTCCGCGGGTTGGTGGCCGCTGCGGGGGCCAAGGGCGCGCGGGTGACCTCGGGGCGGTCCTCGCTTGCTCTCTAGCCTGCGCTCCAGCCCCTCGCACCCCCCCCCCCGAAGTCCTCAGCGGCTGGGACGGAAGATTGGACATCCCCTCATCCCCTGCTCCGGCTTCCTGGGGTCGGTGGGTTTTACGTGATGACTGTGACTCTCGCGCCCCGTCACTCGTTCCACGTCCCATCGGTAGCCCACTGGGGCCCAGGCTCCGCCATTTCGTTTTCTGAATCGCTCTCATTTGCATACCACATTTTCATTCATAAAAACCCGGCGGAGCTCGTAGAAGACTGGGCACGGGCTGCGCGGGGGTCTGCGTGAGCCCGGGTCCCCGCGCGGGCTGGCGTGCTGAAGCTGCCAGCGGGGTCCGGCGGCGCTTGTGGACGTGTGTGCACGCGCTTGTGGGCCCGGGACAGGCGCCCCGCGGGTCCCGGCAGCTCGCGGGAGGGAGGAGGGGCACAGCGCGAGGCGTGTGCTGCGGGGGCTGGCGGGAGCTGCGGGCCAGTGCGTTGCGGGCCGCGTGTTTGTGTGTGAGTGTATGTGTATGCATACATGCATGCTTTCGTGTGCGCGTGCACAATGTGCGAGCCCGAGGGGGAACAATGCGGCGCCCCGCGGGAGGGGCTCGAGCTGACACCCCCCCACCCTCGCCCTCGGTGGGACCGGTACCTTTCGCCAGCCTGGGGCTGAAGTGCCTCTCCCTCCCGCCTCTGGGCTGCGCGATCCGGTTTGGCTTTTTTCCCACCCCCGCCCGAGGCGTCTTCAATCCGAGGTGCCGCCGAGACTGGGCTGCGGGGTCGGGCGCCTGAGCTCCTCAGCCTCGGGTCCGAGTGGTCACTGCAAGGTGGCCGCCGCCGCCGCTCAGTGACTGCCCGCCACCAGCCACTTTCTTCTTTTCTTTCTTTTTTTTGTGAATAAGACGCTCTCCTTTATTGTCACATGATATCCCTTCCCTCCTCCCCTGCACATTCATAAATCCAGTGCCTGCCTTGGCTCCTTTCATTCAGAGCTGCCATTAGCCTAGGGTAGCTGTGTTGCGGGCCTGAGTGCAAGGAGCCGGTGGGCTTCCGCCGGGAGGTGCCCTTAAGGGAGATGGGTGCTTGTCTACGGGGGACCTGAGGGCTGCAGGTAGCCAGTCCCCAAGGTCCGGAGTCTCTGCCCCTGCTAGCATTGAGACTCACTGCAGAGAGGGGAAGTGACTCAGGGCTGGGCAATTGAGACGGCTTCTCTCACTGCAGGTGACAGAATACTGTGCTCCACTCTAAGCATCCACTGACTTTTATTTTGATGCCCTTTTACCCTTTGGCATCTGCTGTTGCCAGGCTGGGCAGGAGGGGAGGTTGGAAGGGTTGGTGTTTGGAAAAGGGAATTTCCTTTATGTGGGTCCCCAGGGAACTCTGACTGTAGTAACCCCTGGTCTACTAACAGCCAGTTGCTGGAGAAGATCCCTCCTAATGGCCTGATGTGCATGTCCCCACATCTAGGAGTCTTTTACATTTTAGACATTTTAGTATGCTGCTTGTGAAATGGTAAGGTGAAAGTTGTGTTTTTAGGGCTAAAATAGAGGGAAAGGAATACTTTGCTGTTTTTGTGGGTCCTCTTTTGTGTGCAGCACGCACAAATGTCTGCAGTAGCCAGTTGCCATGCTCCCTACTTGCTTCTCAGAATTCTTGGAGATTGGTTTGACTACCCTATTTTGGGTTTATTGGCTCAGTCCCTTGGGATTAGCCTAATCTCTTCCATTTTACAACAGCATGTCAATTTTGCATCCCATCTATTATGCAAAGCAAAAGGATTTTGGGTGGGATCACTAGCAAGAGGCCCTGAGAGCTTCTGTTCCAGACTCTCAGAGCAGTTCAGTAAAATCAATGGTCCCTTCTGCCTCTGAAGCCCAGTTGAGACAATGGATATTTGAGGACAGGTTCTGGTTTCATTTAGAGAGTCAGAAAGCAGAGCTCACGTCGGAAAGCGGTGGCGCCTCAGCCTACTGCAGAAATGGACTTCTTGGGATTACTTTTGGGATTACTTTTAATGTAATGACCTTGGCATGAGACAATAAATGCCTAGTGCTAAAACGGCTGCATGGGTTGTAAACTGCCATTTGTGGACACTGCCCATTATATTGTTCAACATTCTTATGTAATGACCCATCTGAAGAAATTCCTTTTAATTGTAAGTGCTAGGAAGAAGGTTTCTCACTATGAGTTACAGAGCTTGCTGTGAGTCCTTTTTTATTTTTATTTTTGCTACCACTGTCTGGAAGCTCAGAGCTAAAATTACTGCTTGGTTACAGTAGCCATAATTACCTATGCTTTTGCTAGATTTATTTACTCCTCTAAGTGAATTTTGATTTTCTGTTTCCTGATGGTATTATCTAAGGTCCCTGAGATACCTTATGGAAATAGGCAAGGTGGTTGTGTGGCATCAAATTTGACACCCAAGGAGGATATAGGTATACCTTACTTAAAGGAGATTTTGATAGGCTAAATGTATTTAAGGCTTTTGTTAAAGATTTAAGCATTTGTTACATTTAGTCTCATAATAAATCAGACTTGGCAACAGGTATACTTGAGTTTACTTTACAAAAATAGTAAATTTTTGTCTTATAATCCCCCCCCATATCAGTTAAAAAAATAAAAACTCTGATAAATACATGGTATTCAGGAAAGCCTGAATGCTCTTTTCAGTGGTGGTCCTAAAAAATAGTTTTCATTATAGAAAATACTGACCTTTTTCCTTTGGTTACCACCAGATAGAAATGCAAATTTTACAGCACTGCAGATTTATAAAAAAATACAACTTAAAAAGAAGAACATCAACAAATTATTCTAACTGGTCTTTTGTACTTGGGAGTGCAAATTTTTTAATCATACATATTTTGTCTGTATCTTTAAAGCATTTGTTCGTGACTTTGAATGATGTGGAAATTCGCAGACAAAATGAAGAAATTCTTTTCAAGCAAGCTGTAACTCAGGAGTTCTCGGCTGCCATTCAGCTTTCTGTTTTGTTCCTCACAGGAACTCTGCTCTGCAGTGGCACGAATCTTGCTGAGAATAGATTTGCAACTCTGCCCTCAGTCATATTTTTCCTTTTAAAAGGTTTCTATTTCTTAGAAAAAGACAAATAGTTTTTCACTGAACTATTTCAAAGAATGTACGTATGTGTTACATACATCAGGACTCTCACATGTAAATACTTGAGCTTCCTGCCTAAGGATCAGAATAGTTTTCTGTGAAAATCAATACCATCATCACACTTTACAAAATTAAGAATAATTCCCTGATGTCTCTAGCACTTAGTCTCAGTTGTTCAAAGAGTCTTGCGTAACTGGTTACTTCAGCCAGGTGCCAATCAGATCTAGTGTTAAATGCATTGGTAATGTATGCTGAAAGCTCAAGGTTGAGCCATTTGCTTACTTCCTGATCTCAGGCAACATTTTTACCTATCTCACCTTAGGTTTATCTGAGTGAATAAACTGGGGATAAATGTTACCATTTTGTGAAGTTCTGTGAAAATTAAATGAGATAGCCCATGACAAACTGAAAGGATAGCACCAAACCAAAAATTAGGTGTCTAAGTGAATTTTTGCAGAAAGAAAGGTTTCTTACAGGCTCAGCTTGTGCATTTTTAAATAATCCTGTGAAGTTGGTGCTATCACATGTAAATGATGAGGCAGCTTAAGTATCACTACTTACCCAAGACAGCAAAACCTTTTTTTTTTTTAAAGATTTATTTATTCATACAGAATTGGGGTACAAGCTAGAGGTGCAGGGGCAGTGAGAGGCTTCACCAGAGACAGTGTGGAGCAGAACAGGCAGACCTACGAAGTACACTGCTGAGGGGAGCAGCGGGTGAGACAGGAGAAGTCTGCCATGTGGATCACCTCCAGTGCAAGGGATGGAACTCCAACAGAAGCTGCTATGGCTAGCTTGCAGTGCTGTGTCCTAACCCGTTGCACCACCAGGGAGGGCCCTCAAAACCTTTTTTATGTCACTTTACTCGTTTAGTCTTCTCAACAATTTTGAGATAGATGGCATTGCTACCCCTATTTTTATTAATTTAATTTATTATTTTTTAAGGTTAAAAAAAAGTATGCATATTAGAGCTGCAGTGTAGGCCAGAGATATGGGGGAAGGGTGAGATGTTTCAGAGAGACAGATAGGGTGCAGAACGGGCAGATCTACTAAAAAACCCTGTTGAAGGGGGAGCAGTGGACAGAAACTGGAGACATCTGCTGCCACCATGTGGGTTACTTCCCTGATTTGGTTTGTGGCTGGGATAGCTTGAGAGCTCTGAGACTTTAATCCCTGTGCCTCCAGGGAAGCCCCTGGCTGAGGAGTTGGGGATTGAACTCAAACTAGTAGCTGGCCATCGCTTGATAGTGCTGAGACTTAACCCATTGTGCCACCAGAGAGGCTCCACTACCCCTACTTTTAGATGAGGAAACTAAGGCACAGAGAAGTTAAATAATTTTCTCCATTAGTAATTGAAGGAGCTGAGATTTGGCACCCATGCCCCTACCTCCTCACCCCCAGCCAGATCTGGAAGGGTTGGATTGTTTTTAGCCACCGTGAAGTACTGCCTGAGAAGGGAATAGGGAGGTCAGCCACTGTCATTCTGACTTCAGAACACGGCTGTTTTTGCCAGGCACGCTGTATTTAATTCTGAATTGGTAACAATTTATCATTGCCATACTTTTTCCACTTCCCATATCTTCCCTGAAAATATGATGAGTCATATACTGAGTTAAGTAAGTTGAAATAAACCTGAGTGTGAGAATTCTGTGATAGCCTTGGTGTGTATTCAGAGTTTTCACTATAATATTAGCTCTAAATTCATAGAAATGATGGTGGTAGAAGCTATATATATATATATATATATATATATATATATATACATACACACACATATACATATTTGCACTAGTCTGGAAAATGGAATGTTTCTACTCCACATGAGTGAAATCCTTAAATGTTAGAGTTGACTGTGCATAATAGGAACCCTCCTAAAATCATAGAAGACAAAACAAAAAACTTGAAAAGACCTTATTTTGTAATTACATCAGGACATTGTCACTGTTTAAAATCATTGTCATTACAGAAATCATATGAAGTGCCTACTACTGCAAGGAGGCAGATTGTTATAGGCCGCAGACCTGGACCTGTCTGCTGGTAGGTTTTTGCAGGCATTTTAACAAGTTCTACCTCCTTTCTGGCTATGGGTGGTCCTGTCTACTTTGCAGCCCCTTTAGCCAATAAGATATTTAAAAAAGAAAAATCCATGAGTTCCGAAACTATTCTGCCTCGACAGTCTGCTTAGTCTTGCTTTTTATTCTGGAATTGTTTTTTCCTTCCCTTCTCCAAAAAGTGAAATTCTGCTCATTTTCCCCTAGCAGTTCTGGCCACTCCTCCTGTGACCCTCTCCTAGACTGCCTGTTTTACTCCCAAATCAAAATCAAGGACTCTCACATTTTCCCCTACGTTATATGACCGCTCACCACCATTTAGAGTTGGGCTTATCCCCAGCTGGCTTCTTTATAGCAGCATACAGCTTTTTGGATTCAGGGTTATCTCTGTTGGCTCGTTTTCTAGTTGTGGCTCACTACCATTGGACATACCGTAGTTGCTTAATAAATGTCTATTGAACAAAAAAATGGCTTTAGTTATTTTGAAATGTGGTTTGCCCCTGCAGACTAATGCAGTTACACTTCTATTTGGTTAACTTATGTCCAAACTCACTTTTGAAAAATTCTGTGTTTGCACAAAG